CCCACCGCCTGTCTCAGATACTGACACCTTCACGCTGTGATGCGTCGCGGCCTGTGACATCAGACCGGCGCCTCAGCTCTTCTGCTCAGTTGCCGGGTCCCGGAAAGGCGGGGCCCCAAACTCAAGTCTCTCTCTTCCCGTTCTTCCTGCAGAGCTGAGCCTGGCACAGGGCCCGGCACCGCGTAGTGCTGACCCTGGATCCTTCCTCGCTGCCTGCGCGGCCTGCTGGACTTCGGGATGCCGGGCGTCTCAGCCCGCCACCTGTCTCTCGAGGAGAGGAGGCAGCTAGCAGTTAACCTCACCCGCGTCTTGGCTCTCTGCCGTCCAATCTTGGACGCCTACATCATCGTGAGGCCACCAGACTTTGGGGCGGGTGACCCTGCTCGTGTGGTTGGCTGGGTGCTCAACGGCAGGGAGGGAATCTGGAGATTTAGCCTCTGATCTCTTGTCTTTTGTACAAAAAGGGATTAAAACAGGGTTGCTCCCCTTTTTAAAAACTGACATAAACATTAATGTTTCTGATATCTAGATTGTGTTGGTAACCTTCCTAAATCGAAGGTAATAAAAGACAGGGACATTTGAACCATGCTGCAACTAATGCGGAACTCTTCCAGGACCATGTGAGATGTTCCAAAAACACATATTCATCCAAACTTTGAATAAATTCCTGGTTTTCTGGGTTGCGATGTAGTCAACAGCTCTAGCTTTGGAATCAGACAAACTTGAACTAAAATCCTGTCTCCCCTACTATGTTAACCTTAGGCTCCCCTCCCACCACTCCTCAACCATCCTGTTTTCCTCAACTGGAAGGGCACCACAGCTCACGCCTGTAATCCTAACACTTTTGAGAGGACAAGGTGGGGGGAGGTGCCAAGGTGGCGGGAGCTCGGTGGGGGTGGGACGAGGTGGCAGCTCCAGGCTGAGCAAGGGTGAGATCCTTGTCTCTACAAAAAATAGAAGAATTAGCCTGGCTTGGTAGTACATGCCGATAGTCCCAGCTACTTTGAGGCTGAGGCAGGAGGAAGGCTTGAGCCCAGGAGTGTGAGGTTGCAGTGAGCTATGATGACATCACTGTAATTTATCCTAGTGAAAGGGATCATCATGAAGAATAAATGAAATAATAAGTAAATGGTACCATCATCCATTGAATTGTTCAGACCCCCAAACTAGAATAAGCCATCCTTGATTCAGCTCTTTCCTTCATTGATCCACAATCCAATTCTTCAGTAAATCCTCTTGGCTCTGCTTTCAGAATAGATCTCAAGTTTATCCATTCGGCTCTATCTCCATTTCTACATCCTCAGCCAAGCTACCATTATCTCTGTGAACCTGTGCAATAGAGGATTCTGAACCTCTTCCAAACATCTGTGTTTACTTATGCCCTTCTATAACCAGTTCTTCACTGACCAGCCAGATTCATATTTTTAAAATGTAAATTTAATTATGGCACTCCCTTGCTTTCTAGGGGCTTTGATGAAATCCTAGTTCCTTATCATTCCCTATAAAGCCCTACATGGTTTGACCCCCACCCCCCACTGCCTCTTCCACATTTCTCTCTCTTATTTATTTTTGAGACAGTCTCACTTTGTCACCCTTGGTAGAGTGCTTTGGTGACATAGCTTATAGCAACCTCAAAATCCTGGGCTCAAGTGATTCTCTTGCCTCAACCTCCTGAGTATCTGGGACTACAGGTGCCTGGCTATTTTTAGAGACGAGGTCTTACTCTGGCTCAGTCTGGTCTCAGTCTGAACCTGTGAACTCAGGCAGTCCACCCACGTCAGCCTTCCAGAGTGCTAGGATTACAGGCATGAGCCACTGCGCCCAGCCCCACATTTCTACATGCTGTATCTACACTGGCCTGATTTCTGTTACAGAAATATGGCAGGCATCTTGGCTTTTACTCTGAAATCTTTTTTCTCTGCAAAAAGGTAATAGGAAGAGCAAGGACTCTAAGCCAGTGCATTGACTCCTGTAATCTAGCACTCTAGGAAGCCAAGGCAGGAGGGAGTTGGAGACCAGCCTGAGCAAGAGCGAGATCCTATCTCAATTAAAAAATAGAAAAACTAGCTTATAGTTGTGTGTATCTATAGTCCTAGCTACCCTGGAGGCTGAGGCAGGAGGATCACTTGAGCCTAGAAGTTTGAAGTTACTGTGAGCTAGGCTGACATTAAAACATGCCACATGTCCTGCCTAGGGTGCTATGGCAACAGAGTTAAACTCTGTCTCACATTTAAAGAAAAAAAAGGAGCAACGACTCGAGAATAAAATTGTTTTCAAATCCTAGTTTGCTACTTACCAGCTTTTTGATGTGATCAAGTTATTTCATTGTGTGTCTTAGTTTTTTCATCTGTAAAATGGGGGATAAAAATAATACCTACCTTAGAGTGGCACCTGTGGCTCAAAGGAGCAGTGTGTCAGCCCCGTATACTGGAGGTGGTGGGTTCAAACCCAGCCCTGGCCAAAAACTATTAATAATAATAATAATACCTACTTTGTAGGATTATTTTAAGCACATTAAAACATGCCACATGTCCTGGCATAGAAAATATTATATAAATGTTAGCTATTACTTCTATTTTCTTTACATGCCTGCTTTCCTATTCATTCAAGTCTCAGCTCAATTGTCAGCTCCTCAAACAAGTCTTCCCTCATAACCCTTTCCCAAACTCTCCATTACATTGCTCATTGGGGTTTTATTGTCTGTCTGGCATTTGATGTTACCTGAAAAAAAAAAATTTAATGGAAACTGCAAAAGTAAGAATCTTATCTCTGGTTCACTGTTGTATCTGCTGAGGCTAGAACAGAGCTTGGTGTGTAACCAAAACAAAGCCTCCTAAACTATGATGAACAAACAAATGAATAAAAATATACAATATTGTATGTCTGACACAAAATAGCAACAGGCTGCTACGTGGCAATTCACTAATACTATTTGTCAATCACTCTGGTAATTGTTAGGGATACACATGTGAAGAAGACATCATCCTTTCCCTTAAGAAGTTTAGTTGAGTAGAGCAAACAGACAAAAATAATTGGGGAAATTGCTAAAAGGAAAGGTGTGTCCAGAATGTAGTCTGGGCACCAAAGGAGCAGAAGTCAGCCACCTGAGCTGGGGAGTGGGGGCTGGAGCAGACTTCAGAGAAGAGCTGACTTGGATGCGTAGGAAGTACCTGCTGGCTACAGCCAGTGGTCCTTGGGGAGATAAGAGTGGCACAGGAAATAATAGGAATGGTAGTAGCCCAATAATTGTTTCTCCTCTTCTCCTGCAGGAATTTTTCACAGACAACCTGTGGGGTACACTGCCTGACTCATGGCAGGCAGCGTTGGATGGACTGAACCCGCCACAACTGGCTACACTGCTGCTGGGGATGCCTGGGGAAGGGGAGGTGGTAAGGTATGGATGAGAGGGTCTTGTGCTAGGGAACTGAGCCCTGCAGTGGGCTGTTACTGAGCCTTACGATGTCTTCCTGGGCCCTGGGTTGTAAACTGGTATGTTCAGGATATGATGGGACTATTCACCGGAGGCCTGGGCTGGACTATCTTAGGTACAGGTCGGTGTGGCCACTCACTCTGCTGGCTCTGAAGTCCACGGCCACATCCCTGGCCTTTACCCGGACGCCTGGCTTTCACACCCCCTCAGAGTTCCTGGAGAACCCCAGCCAGAGCTCCCGACTAACGGCTCCATTCCGGAAGCATGTCAGGCCCAAGAAGCAGCATGAGATCCGGAGGCTGGGAGAGGTGAGGTGATGACTGGTATATAGATGATGTCTGAAAGCCTAGGAACTCCTCAGACCTGTGGGTCATGAAGATGTATGCCCCTGACCTCACATGCAGGACCAAAGACCCTAAAGTAGTGTGTTTCAACCTTTTTTAACTCACAGCATCCTTGAACCTATAGTTAAATTTCTGCGGCACACTTAGATTATGTTGATCAAAAAAAAGAGTAAAAAAAAGAATATACTTACTGTGCTTTGAACTTCTTTTTTTTTCTTTTTTTGGAGACAGAGTCTCACTTTGTTGCCATTGGTAGAGTGCCATGATGTCATAGCTAACAGCAACCTCAGACTCTTGGGCTCAAGCCATTCTCTTGCCTCAGCCTCCTGAGGGGACTACAGGCGCCTGCCACAATGCCCGGCAATTTTTAAAGCTGGGGTCTCCCTCTAGCTCAGGCTGGTCTCAAATCTGTGAGCTTAGACAGTCCACCTACCTTGGCCTTTCAGAGTGCTAGGATTACAGGTGTGAGCCACTGCGCCCGGCCTGCTTTCAACTTCTTTCAAAATTTATTTATTTATTTAGATAGTCTTACTTGGTCACCCTTGGTAGAGTGCTGTGGTGTCATAGCTCACAGCAAACTCAAACTCTTGGGCTTAAGCAATCCTCCTGCCTCAGCCTCCTGAGTAGCTAGGACTATAGGAACCTGCCACAATGCCTGTTTTTTTTTTGTTTTTGTTTTTTTTTTACTTCTTCCTCCTGTAGTGTTCTTATGCCCCCCATGTAGCTGGGATCACAAGGTCCGGCTGTCTTTTTGTTGTGGTAGAGATGGGGTCTCACTCTGGCTCATTCTGCCTCAGGCTGGTCTTCTGCTGGTCTCAAACTTGGCTGAGCTCAGGTGATCCACTGGCCTCGGCCTCCCACAGCTCTGGGACAATAGGCGTGAGCCACCACGCCCGGCCAATCCCTGGCTATTTTTAGAGATGGGATCTTGCTCTTGCTCAAGCTGATCTCAAACTCTTGAGCTCAAGCTATCCACCCATCTCAGCCTCCCAAAGTGTTAGGACTGTGGTTGCAGCGCCAGCCTCATGCACCGAGGCTGGCTGAATAACAATGACAACTGCAACAAGAAAATAGCTGGGCATTATGGCAGCGCACCTATGGTCCCAGCTACTTGGGAGGCTGGGGCAGAAGAATTGTTTAAGCCCAAGAGTTTGAGGTTGCTGTGAGCTAGGATGCCACAGTACTCTACCAACAGTGACATAGTGAGACTCTGTCTCAAAAAAAAGAAAAGTGTTAGGATTATAGGCATGAACCACCACACTGAACCTTAGAGATGGAGTCTTACTCTTGCTCAGGCTGGTTTCCAACTCCCAAGCTCAGGCAATCTACTTGCCTTGGCCTCTCAGAGTGCTAAGATTATAGGCATGAGCCACAATGCCTGGCCTTTTTCAAAAATAATTAATGATCTTTAAAAATTTTTGTGGCACACCTAAGATCCTCTCATGGCATACCAGTTGAAAATCACTGCCTTGGGCGGCGCCTGTGGCTCAGTGAGTAGGGCACCAGCCCCATATACCAAGGGTGGAGGGTTTGAACATGGTCCCAGCCAAACTGCAACAAAAAAATAGCCAGACATTGTGGAGGACACCTGTAGTCCCAGCTACTCGGGAGGCTGGAGCTTGGAGGTTGCTATGAGCTATGATGCCACGGCACTCTACCGAGGGTGACAAAATGAGACTATGTCTCTTAAAAAAAAAAAAAAAAAAGAAAGAAGTCACTGCCTTATAGGGAGCATACCTCAGCAGACATCCATAATCATATCCTGAGGCTTTCTTTTTTTTATTTTGTGGGGTGGGTTGGCAACTGGGTATATATCATGATCCTATTCTTGTTCTCACATCTCCACAATATGCTCGTGGCTTTATAGCAGGGCTCTGTGGAGGGATTCAGTCAACTAAAGAACAAAGAAAATGGCCTGAACCTGGGCGGGGGAGGTCAGAACCCACCCTCATCCCTATTTGGTTTCTACATCCCTCTGTCATCTTTGGCTCATCCACCATAATGGGTGTTTGCCTCAGGAGTGGAGAACCAGTGGTCAGGAAACATTTGCTCCCTCCTCTTTCAGTTGGTGAAGAAGCTGAGTGACCTCACAGGCTGCACCCAGGTTGTGGATGTGGGCTCTGGCCAGGTAAGCCCGACCTCTAACATGGTGTTTATTTGAGTCAAGGGGATAGAACAACTGGAAGGCTGATTATCTGGTCACAGGCCCAGGGAGGTCAGTGCTGAAAAGTGGAACCAGGCAGGGCAGAACTTAAGCATTCTGTGAGGCCTGGGACCCAGGAGCCTAGGCCAGACTGGGAGGGTGACAGTGGACAGGGCACTGAACAAGGCTGTCTCTGTCCTTCCTATCATGACTCCAGGGCCATCTCTCTCGCTTCATGTCTCTGGGACTGGGGCTGATGGTGAAAAGCATTGAAGGGGACCAGCGACTGGTGGAGAGAGCCCAGCACCTGGACCAGGAACTCCTGCAGGCTCTGAAGAAAGAGGAGAAGAGGAACCCCCAGGTAGACTGCCTCTTCCCACACCTGCACTGCAGCCACAGGATCTGCTTGGCTGGAGCTGTGCACAGCAACTAAGTTCTCTCTTTAAAGTTTCTCAGTTTAAGGGGATGTGGTCCCTTTTTCTATTACCTTGTTCTCAAGGTTCCCCCTTCTGCAGAGCTTCCTTACCTCCCAAAGGCACTTGTTCATCACAGGTACTTTCCACTTTGATAGTGCTTCTTACAACCTAAGAAGTGGATATTCATCTCATTACAAAGAAGAAAATTGGATCTTAAACATGAAAAGATTTGGCTCGGCGCCTGTGGCTCAAGCAGCTAAAGCGCCAGCCACGTAAACCTGAGCTGACGGGTTCAAATCCAGCCTGGGCCTGCCAAACACTGATGGCTGCAGTCAAAAAATAGCCAGGCATTGTGGCAGGCACCTGT